ACCGTTACTGCGTATCAGTAAATTGTGATTATTAGTTGATAGTGTGAGACCATTGAATAATTGAAATGATATAACGAATTAGCTAAGCTAGGGTAACAAGGAGATATTTTTGTCCTTCATTTGTTAATAAATGGAATTCATATGTGTTTTAATAAATGATGTTTTCCGCTGGGTCATGATGACCAGTGTTTATTTTTATTAACTATATACTTACTGGGCATTTATAGGTTTTATAAATTATGCAGCTAATGGAAGTTGTAGTTTGAAGGAGACTGCCTCTGTGAAGACAACTGGGAATATCTAACTTTTGTATTGCTAGGTACATGTTGGATATATTTTTATTAAAGCATTTTGTATTCGGTGAATATCAAGCTAAAAGAGTATGTATAATTTTATTCAGTTTTTCATTTTAGGGTTAAGTGCATGCCTGAATTATAGAAACCTTAATTAGAAAGCAAACTTAGCACAATTATTAAATACTTATTTGAAAGAAAATATTTTAAGATATGAATTCTCTATTACACTTCATCCTAATTGGAGATAACTTAGACATCAAGGTTAGGATTCTTAGTCATGTCATTTTTATAAATAGAGTTCTAATTTTTGCTCAGAGCAGATAGCTCTCCTTCACATTATGCCTGACTCGAGTGTAATTCTTGGTATTCAAAAAGAGTAAAGAGAAATTATACTTGTCAATATCAATTTGGGTAATACATTTTGGGTAATAACACGTTTGAGTTAATTTATAAGGAAAGCCTAGGAGACTGTTCTTTTGTGGCGTTGTTGAATATCTTTCTAGGAAACTCATCTGTAGCATGCTAAAGGAGCCCTATTCTTTAGATAAGAAAGCCACAGATAAGAATGCCTTACAATTTGTTTAATATTTTACATTTTACTAACAGTTTACACATTTATTACTCGTTTGCTCTTCACAGCAAACTTAATTGGCTGAGATTTATTAGGATTCATACGTAAGTGGTTTTCTTTTCGAGGCAATGCAATTGATATGGTATTTTTAATCTTGATTTCTAATGTTTGTTGCTGGTGTATAGAACATAATCAGAGTTTGTATTTTTATCCAGTCCCTGGACCTTACTGAATTCACTTATTATTTCTAGAAGGTGTGTGTGTGTGTATGTTGTGTGTGTGTGTATAGAATCATTGGGATTTTCTGTGTAGACATCATGGGGACAGTTTCTAACCTCTATGCCTTTTATTTTTCTTTTTTTCTTTTCTCTCTCTTTCTTTCTTTCTCTCTCTCTCTCTCTCTCTCTCTCTTTCTTCTCCTCCTCCTCTTCCTGCTCCTCTTCCTCTTCCTCCTCCTTCCTCCTCCTTTCTCCTTCCTCCTCCTTTCTCCTTCCTCCTCCTTTCTCCTTCCTCCTCCTTTCTCCTTCCTCCTCCCTTCTCCTTCCTTCTCCCTCCATCCTTCTTCTTTTTTTTTTTCTTGCTTATTGCACTGGCTAGAATTTCTACTGGTGAGAGCATATGTTCTTGTCTTGTTCCTGGTCTTAGGGAAGGCACATTCAATCTTTCTTCATTAAGTATAATGTTAACTGTAGGGTTTTTGTAGACGTTCTTTATGAGGTTGAGGAAATTTTCCGTATTTCCATTTTTCGGAGAATTTTTTTGATTACTGTTGAATTTTGTCAGATGCTTTTTTTGAGTCCACTGTTACGATTCTGTGATTTTTCTTCTTTATCCTGTTACTGTGGATTACACTGATTGTTTTTCAAATATTGAACCAAACTTTGCATCTTGGAATAAATCCTACTTAGTCATGGCATATAAATCTATTTATATATTGCTGGATTCTATTTTCTAATATTTTCTTAAGGATTTTTACATCTGTATTTGTAAGCAATATTGATCTGAAGTTTTCTTTTTTGGTACTGTCCTTTTCTAGTTTTGGTATCTCGGTAATACTGGCTTCGTAAAAATCAATTGGGACATGTCCTCTCCTATTTTGTGATGGAGATTATGTTGAATTTGTGTTCATTCTTAAACATTTGGTAGAATTTCCCAAGGTTGCTTCCAACCTCCAACAAACATTTGATCTGCTTCTTGTTACCATAAATTAGATTTGACTTTCCTCAAATTTCTTTATAACACAACATTTTACAGTGTGTGTGTGTGTATACACATGGACTGTTTTGTGTCTGGCACTCATTTCATTCAACAAAATTTTTGAGATTCATCTTTGTTGTATACATCAGTAGTTTACTCCTTTTTATTGCTGAGTGGTATTCTGTTGTGTGGTTATGCTACAAATTGTTTATCCATTCACCTGTTGATGGACATTTGAGCTTTGTTCAGTCTTTGGCTGTTACAAAGTTGTAGTCAAGTCTTTGTGTGGACATAAGCTTTTTTTCTGTTTTCCTTTTTTTTTTTTTTTTCCTTTGAGACAGAGTCTCGCTCTGTCACCCAGGCTGGAATGCAATAGCGTAGTCCCCGCTCACTGCAACCTCCTCCTCCTGGGTTCAAGCAGTTCTCCTGCCTCAGCCTCCTGAGTAGCTGAGACTACAAGCATGCACCACAACACCCGACTAATTTTTGTGTTTATAGTGGAGACGGGTTTTCATCATGTTGGCCAGGCAGGTCTCGAACTCCTGACCTCAGGTGATCCGCCCACCTCGGGCTCCCAGAGTGCTGGCATTACAGGTGTGAGCCACTGCACCTGATCTTCTTTTTTGTTTTTGAAACAGAGTCTTGCTCTGTCACCCAGGCCGGAGTGCAGTGGCTTCATCTTGGCTAACTGCAGCCTCTGCCCCTCAGGTTCAGGCAGTTCTCCTGCCTCAGCTTTGAGTAGCTGGGATTATGGGTGCATGTCACCGGCTGCCTTTTTGTTTGTTTTTTCATCACGTTGTGCTTTGTGAAGCACAGCAATGGTAGCACTTTTTAAAAATGATTTTTAGTTTCTAAATTTTTAATTACAGTGTCAATAATGTGGGATTTGGACATAGGGCCTCCAGATACTTGATACATGTTTACATGAATGTTTCTTTTCGGGGGAAATATGTTTCAAATTCTAGACAACAATTGGATAGTCAGTCTGTTTTTCACCTCTAGAATGGTTATTCACATGTGGCCCAGATTAGTTGCTACAGTGAGACAGAATCCTGCAGTGCCTTTTCTCTTCTGGTGTTATGCGTTCCAAGCTGACCTATTTAAAATACTGTTGTCAAAGACAGTTGTAATCCTCTTTAAGTACTTGGTTATTTAGAATTCACAGTTACATTTTTTTCTTTTAGTAGCCCAGGAATAGCTTTTATTTTTTGCATTGCTATGAAGTTTCCTGACTACTAGTGACTAATCATCAGTTGTAAGTTAAAGCAATGGTTTCATATATATATATTTCCACTCAAAAATTGACTTTTCTTTGCTATTCCACAGTACCTTCTCCAGGCAAATTCCGTTCCCCTGCAGCACCATCTCCTTTGGCTCTTCGGCAACCAGTGAAAGCATTTAGTAACCATGGCTCTGGTTCTCCTGGTAGCCAAGAAATAACACAGCTCACACAAACCACCTCCTCACCTGGGCCTCCTGTGGTTCAGAACACAGTCTCAGCAAATCCTCCCAGCAATATCAACAGCGCTACTCTAACCAGACCCGCAGGGACAACTGCAATGAGAAGTGGCTTGCCCAGACCCAGTGCCCCTTCTGCTGGGGGCATACCAGTGCCTCGCAGCAAACTTGCACAGCCTGTTCGCAGGTAAGTGGCAAATGTTCTGTTTCAGCATTCTTGAGTACCTGAAAGTGGATAGACTGAAATTAATTAGCTTCATCTCTATGTTTGATAGTAAACAGAAAGTCATGGTGGATTGCCACCAGAGTTTTAATACAATTTGAATAAAACATTACTACATTGTTTTAAAGAAATCCTCATTTGGGACTTTTACCATTTTGGTTCAGATTAAATGTGTCCAGTTGCCTAACATGATTAAGCATCTCAGAGGACCCCTAGAAAAAAATTGTTAGAACCACTCAATTTGATTGTGATATTCATTCATTTTTGAATAGAATTATATTCAATGAAGATGATAAAGGTATATTAGAATATAGAGTGATATTTAAGATAAAAGTTATAGCTACTAAGTCTGAGTATTATCTATAAGCATGGTTTTCAAACCCTTATTCTACAATTCAGAATTATCTATGAGATTTATATAAATGTAGAGTCTAAGTTTTACCCTCAGAGAGTCTAACCTATTTAATGAAATTAAGTAATTTGCCTAAGGCCACATAGCTAATAAAACTATGAGTTCCAAGTATGTCTGACTTCGGAGCTCTTTTAATCACTATTCCATGCTGCCTTTCTAGTGATGCTGACTCTGAGCTTCTAATATCACATTCATCATTCTGCCTCTCAAAATAATAAGTAAATGATAAGGTTGGTTGTCTATGTGCTTGAGAAAAGGTGAGACCATCTTTTCCCTTCTTTGATCTAGTAGCTATGTTAACAAAAAGGGAAGTCATCTGTTGTCCAGTAAAACTTGGAAGTTGTGAAAATGCACAGTGTTGGGAGGTTGTACTAGTACCTGTTTAGAGCTTTTGCCTTGGTACAGCCTTCATGGGATCATGATGCCACCTGAAGAGTAATTAATATATGTGTGAGATAGTATGGTAATATTTCATAAAGACATTTATCAAATTTTAATTACAAAATTGCTTTATTTCAGATCCTTGCCAGCTCCTAAAACCTATGGTAGCATGAAAGATGATAGTTGGAAAGATGGCTGTTATTGACCAGCAAAGACAAGAATGCAGAAGTCCACGGCTTCATGGATACCCTTCACCAGGCTAAAAAACAACTTTTATATGCAGACTGTTCAGATAAGACTCTTGGGATTTATAAAATCCCAGCCCTCTCTGTCTTAATTAGCACAAACTGACAGAGATCATCAAACAGCACTTTAATGACATTTAACATCAGATGTGTTTGGTAATCATACAATCACTCTCCATAGAATCACTTTTAGTTTTGTTTAATAGAAACTAGGTTGATTTTTTTAACATATTTGACAGAGGCCAATATCTGGGCAAATACTTAATGGATGCCAAAGAGAAATGCCCATTTGTAAATGAGAAAAATGCCCATTTGTGCACAAGAAAATGGTGAATTCAAGCTATCCAAAACTTCACATTCAACCTAATTTACTGTATAAATAGTATCAATAAATATTTGTGTTAATGAGAACTAATATTCTGACTAATTATCTAAAATGTTTCACTAGTACAGCAGGAAACTACAGATTGAGATTAGGGGGTGGGAGGAAAGAAACCTGGGCTAGAGATTTAAAACATTCCTAAATTTGGGAGAATTTCAGAAATTATTTTTACAGATTCATTAGAAAAATTGTCATTTAATCTTAAGTTTTGGATGTAGCTCACGTATCACCACCACCAGATAGTGTTACAGCACGCATCCATCATGTTGCATTGACACATCGAACTTCTGTGTGTTTGTTTTGATTGCCAAAAGGGCTTAATATCAGTTGTACAATCTTTCTAAACTTTATAGTTCCTGGCTCAGGAAAGATGGCCTTTGCTGTTGAAGCCAACTTCTTCGCATGCTGTTATCTTTACAGAACTAAGAGATCTTGTTTCTGTTAGCAGGTTTTCATGATAGGAAAGAACAAGTAGTGTGTGTCTTTATTCTTGATACAACACCACCTCAGTGCTTACAACCTGGAACAAAACCATACAATGAGAGAGAGGGGGAAAAAAATCTATGCACTTAACCTACAAAATCTCTGGTGATGACAGTTGTATTGTTGCTATTACATGGCATAATGATCTATTATGTGGTAGGAAAATATAGCCTGCTAAATCCTACTTAAGTTGATCCACTTTAAACTGAGTAACCGTATAAAACATCTATTGAAAATTCTTTCCCTTTTGACTTAGATTCTGCCTTATATTAATTTTTGCTTTTTTGGTAACAAACCTACTACATATGATTCTAACCTGATAAATACTTGGTCTCTAATGACTCTTAATAAATCCTTGAAATCACCTATTTCAATTTTATCAGACTATTACCAGAGTAAAACTTCCTTCTGTAGCAGGCCTCTCATTTTTTATTATGAGGTCTGTTTTTAAATCCTTAATTTGAACAGCTCTAAGATATTGTCTCTTAGGTCATCTAAAAACTTTTAGAGATTTGAACGTAAGTTCATTTCCTGTTCATCAAAGACATTCCGTAAGTTGGCAAAAGAAATTGGAAGAGAGAAAATGGAAGGCCTGATATTCATGATGGCATTAAGGTTGGTAGGTTGAAAGAATGATAAAAACTTAAAACCAGGACCTCCATTCTGTCATGACTGACACCATGGTAGTCTGTCAACTTGACCAGTGGAAAGTCATTCATTTAGCACAAGCAGCTGGAGATTGAAACTGCCAGTAATATGTATTTGGTGTATAACGCAAAGAAGAAACTTTATCCTTGAATTTGAGGGTGATGGGGTGGGTCAGGAAAGGATGGCGCAGAATTCTACATGATAATGAACTAAAAAATGTTGCTTTTCAAAGGAAGATAAAGCATCTTCTTTTGGGAGGGGGGTATCTCATGTCTAAGTAAGTAAAAAAAAAAAGAACTAGCTACTGTCTCTTTTAAAAACCACGTACAAAAGCAAAACAAGTCTCAGTTTTCAGTACAACATTTCAAAAAATATATATGCTGCAATCTAATAATTGAAAGGAATTTTACCTATTATGAAACACATTACATTTTTTAAGTTAGATAATCAGTTTCAAAAGAGTATTCAGGTTATTTAACTTTGTTTTGAAATGGCTGCATCAGAAAAAAATGTCTATTTTTTTTTATTAAAATATTTCATCACTTGTTAAAACGTATTTTGGATCTGAGTTTGGTAAAGTATTATTTTACGTGCTTTTGTACTACCACAGACTGTTGACTTTTAGTTTCCTAAAGAGAAAAATTGCCTTTTTACTAGAAAGCCTTTGTATATCGCAGTTTTTCTGTTTGGGAAAATCTAAGGATTTACTGTGGTTAGTCTTACAGAAGAAATGTGGATTTGATAAACTAGTGCCTATGATTTTAACTTATGTTTGATATATAGTAGTAAGGGTTTTATGAATGTTGATTATTTTGTGCCAACAGCCCAGAATTGTCACTTACGTGTAAGCAGAAAACAATGAGCTCTGCTTCCAAAGTTATTTAATTTTCTCAGTGTTTGAATGTTATTTTTTGTAAGTGTGTTAATAAAAGTGTAAAGAATTGGAAAAAAATATAAATATTCTTAACTCAAGCATTTGCTGGATCATTTTTCTACAAAACTTGTTTGTATAATATAAAACACTCTCTGAAGAGTTGACTTTTTTTCAGTTTCGTATCCTGGAAATCACATTTTGTAAAACTGGGGACCATTCATAATTGTCAGATACTTTTTAAAATTATCTCAATACATCACTTTTATAAGAAAAAAAGTTTTTTTGAAAGAAAATTAGATACATACGTGGCCCCAGATGTTTGTATAACTCTAGAATGATCTAGACTATGTATGTTTAAATTAACTTTTTATTGAATGTACAGGTGTCCATTTTTGACGTTACGCATGGTCCTTTTAGATCACATGACGTTTGATTTGCAAACATTTCTATAGCCGAACTTGTATATGTGGTTGCCTCCTTAATAAACAGCCTGACCATAATGTTTATTATTAAATTTATATATTTTTTAATTGTTTAATTAATCTCTGGATATGGTAAGATTCCTTTTTTTCTCTCATTTGCCTACACTTGGTTTTAATAAATTGTTCCGTTGAGTTTTTCTTTAAACACAGAAACCCAAATCATATTGCCCTTTCAGGCTTAGTCTTCATGGGGTTGGATTTATGTCTTCCATTTTCTCTGTCAGAGTTACTTCATTTATGGATTTTACTTGGAGGAAATTTATAGTTTACTCTAAATTGATTTGTTCTTGGAACTTTTTCACCTGCTGTGAATTGATATCTAGTTAGAAAAAGCTAGCATTTGCCTACATCATAACTATATATGATATCTAGTTAGAAAAAACAAGCAAAAAGCTATTGCGAGTTTCCAAGAGGGACGATTAATGTATTTTCATGCCAAATGCAAATATTTAGGTGATCACGTATATTTTTTCTTGTATGAATGGAAAAATCAAGAACTGTACACTGTTTAATGAATTCTCCATATTCCTTTAGGAGATATTTGCTTTGCAATTACATGTTACAATTAGAATAATTACCATTAAAATAATATTACATGTTACAATTAGATTAATACTGATGAGAGGGGGAAAAAAGACACCCTTCTGTTTTTTTCTCTCAAGTCAGTCTAAAGACTTGAAGAGCCATTTAAAATTAAATGTCACTATACTTGTATTATAAATCAATACATGAGAAATTTAAATCTGTTACATACTCAGGGCAACAGAAGAACCCATATGGAGGTTCAACCACTAATGTATTTTGAATGATCCTAAGTATAAGTCTTGGGTGGGTAAATTGGCCCTCTGCTTACCCGTCTGAAAATGAAACCAATTATACTCATCGGCCTTATTTGCTGTAATACAAATTGGTTAAAAACTGTGTTAACTGAATGCCAGTTTCAAACAAATTATCTACATTAAGTCATCTTAATGTTTTCTCTTTAAAAGTAAGAAAAAAATCTTTTTCTTCTGATTTCAAAAGTAATAGAAACTCATTGCTGTAGAACATAAACTAAAAATATTAAAAAGTATAAAGGTGAAAAATGATAGTTACCTGCAATCCCATCATCCGGAAATATTGAAGCACTGTCCTTCACATGGTTGTAACATGTTAAGTGGAAGGGTAGGTCTTTTTTTTTTTTTTTTTAAATGAGAAAATGTTTCTTTTAAATAAATGTTTCTTATGTAAAAATGTTGACATGTGTTTGCTTTTGCACAGAAGTATACATTAACTGCTACTGAAAGCTTGGCATATATCTTAATTCCTGATTTTAGATATTTCTTAATAATAGTATCATATGTATTGTTTGTGTTGTTTATAACATTAATTGGTTTTTTACAATTTATACTTTTTTTTTTTTTTTTTTTAAAGAGTCTTGCTCTGTTGCTCAGGCTGGTGGAGTGCAGTGACATGATCTCGGCTCACTGCAACCTCTGCCTCCCGGGTTCAAGCAATTCACCTGTCTTAGCCTCCCAGGTTGCTGGGACTACAGGTGCATACCACCATGCCCAGCTAATTTTTGTATTTTTAGTAGAAACCGAGTTTCACCATGTTTGTCAGGCTGGTCTCAAACTCCTGACTTCAATTGATCCACCCACTGTTGTACCTGCTGTTGTATTTTTACCTGCTGTGGTACTACCACAGACTATTGACCTTTAGTTTCCTAAAGAGAAAAACTTTTTTTTTCTTTTTTTAAGAGATCAGGTCTTACTATTTTGCCCAGGATGGTCTCGAACTGCTGGGCTCACGCGATTCTCCCACCTCAGCCTCCCAAAGTGCTGGGATTATAGATATGAGCCACCATGCCCAGCCTCTACATACTGAAATTTGAGAAATATATAGTAAATTATAAAGAAGAAAAAGTACTTAATAGGTAGTCAGCCACTTAAATTTGAAGATAATGTATTTGTTTCTTTTTCCTTCTAAAATTGTAATCATTTATGCTTGACAGTTAACTTTTTCTTAAGTCTGAATTCATAACTACCATGATTTAGATGGATTCTGCTGCTACAAAAAGCCATTTAGTTCTGGAAAGAGTATGTAAATATTCTAAACCTTTTCCAAACTGTATTATTTTAATCCTTCATATCATATCCTTTATTGATACTTGAATGCTCCCCACCACCGCCCCTGCCTCCCATCTACCACGAATTGACAGTATTGATTGAGTACAATGCCAGTTTTAAAATACCTTTAAAGAAATAACAGGCTCAACCAAATGAAGAGTTAAACTAGTCTCTAGTAGAGTTCTTAAACTTGGTCACCTGAAGGGCTATTAAAACAGATTTCTGCACTGTACTCCTGAGAGTTTCCAAGTCCCAAAATTCTAGGGATAGGGTTCCCAGGGCAGGTCAGGTGCACATTACTGGACTAATTGACTGTGGCTAGAGGATTGGGGTTAAGGTAGAACACTAGCTATGGTTTCCTACTGTGAAAATCATATGGATGGAATGGGGAAAGACCATTATCCCTGAGGGTGGTACTGTCCCCAGAAAGTAGGCAAGGTCTTAAGCAAGCAATACAGTAGGTGCACATCACAAATGTCTCAGTGCATATTACATAAAATGATTATACCATGTCAGTGGTCACTGACCTGGAGGAAACATTTGTAGTAAGAAGAGAAGTTTCTGGTAGTATTTGAGCTTCTGGCTCAATTGTTCATGAGGTTCTGTATTATTCCTGTCCGTGGATTCCACTAGGCATCTTGGTATGCTCTTTAAAGATGCCCCTTAGTACATTGACCAGTTTAAGTAGGGTTCTGTCATTTGCAAACAGAAGGAAGAGGTAATTTTTCAAACGTTTTTAAAATTGATACATAAAGTATGTACAGAAGAGTTCGTGCAACTCAAATGGTCAGCTCAAGGAATTAAATTACTACATGTGTGATCACCATGTAGACAAGAAATAGAATGTTCACAGCACCCCAAAAACTCTCCTAGTGTCATTTGACAATCACTACTTCCTTCCTCCTCTACAAAGATAACAGTTACTGACTGGGTGGGGTCACTCACACCTGTAATTCCAGCACTTTGGGAAGCTGAGGTGGGAGGATCACATGAGCCCAGGAGTTCAAGACCATCCTGGGCAACATAGTGAGACCCCCATCTCTCAGAAAAAAGTTGGGCCGGGCGCGGTGGCTCAAGCCTGTAATCCCAGCACTTTGGGAGGCACAAGGTCAGGAGATCGAGACCATCCTGGCTAACACGGTGAAACCCCGTCTCTACTAAAAAAAATACAAAAAACTAGCCGGGCGAGGTGGCGGGCACCTGTAGTCCCAGCTACTCGGGAGGCTGAGGCAGGAGAATGGCGTGAACCCAGGAGGCGGAGCTTGCAGTGAGCTGAGATCCGGCCACTGCACTCCAGCCTGGGAGACAGAGCGAGACTCCGTCTCAAAAAAAAAAAAAAAAAAAAAGTTAACAGCTATTCTGACTTCTAACGTTGAAAAGCATCAATGCATTATACAGCATCTCAAGTCAACATGGTCTGCCTATAGGTCAATACTCCAGTAAAATTATAATGGAACTGAAATATTTCTATCACCTAGTGGCATAGCCCAATGCATTCATTACTCACATGTTTGTGCTGATGCTGGTATAAACAAGCCTGCTGTGCTGCTAGTCATAGAAGTATAGCGCATAATACTTGATAATAAAGAACTTTGATACTGGTTTACATATTTACCATACTTTATTGTTATTTTAGAATGTACTCCTTATTTTTAAGTGAACAGCCTCAGGCAGATCTTTCATGAGATATTCTAGAAAACATTGTTATGATAGGAGATGACTGCTCCATGCATTTTGTTACCCCTGAAGACCTTCCAGTGGGACAAATGTGGAGGTGGAAGACAGTAATATTGATGATTTTGACCCTGTGCAGGCCTAAGCTAATGTGTGTGTTCATGTCTTAGTTTTCAACAAAAAAATTTTTTAAGGAAAAATGTTTATAGAATGAGATATAAAGAGAATAATTTTGAACAACCATACAATGTATTTTAAGCTAAGTATTATGAAAGAGTCAAAAAGTGAAAACTATAAGTGATAAGATAAAAACCTTGCAGTAACCTAAGGTTAATTATTAAAGAAAAAAAATTTATAAATTGAGTGTAGCCTAAGTACAGTGTTTTATAAGTATAGTAATGTTCTAGGCCTTCACATTCACTCACCGACCCACCTCAAGCAACTTGCAGTTCTGCAAGCTCTGTCATGTTAAGTGCCCTTTACAGGTATCTCATCTTTTATCTTTTATACGGTATTTTCACTGTACTTTTTTTATGTTTAGATATGCAAATACTTACCACTGTGCTACTGTCGCCTACAATATTTAGTGCAGTTAAATGTTGTACAGGTTTGTAGCCTAGGGCTATATCATATTGCCTGGGTGTGTAATGGGCAGTCATCTAGGTTTGTGTAAGTACACTCTGATGTTCCCACAAGGGTGAACTCAGACCTACCAATGCATTTCTCAGAATGTATCTGTGTCAAGCGACACATGACTGTAATTTAGTTTTGCCTACTTTTGAACTTTATATAAGTAAAACCATACAATTTGTATTTTTTCTTCTTTGAAGGCTAATTTTTTCTTTGAAAGCTAAAAATGATTTTCTCTTAGCCACTAAACAAAAATAATGTGAGATTCACCCATGTCGCTGATGTCATTGTAATTTGTTCATTTTCATTGCTGCTGTTATATGCCATTGTATAAATATATCACAGTTTGTCCATTCTCATGTCAAGGACAGTTGTGGTGTTTCCAGTTTGGAGCTCTTAAAGTAATGCAGTTTTGGATTTCAGTATAGTCAAAATGACATAAGTCCACTGAAGCCTCTCCCACTGACTAAAAATTCTGTACAAAATGTAGAAGACAACTGAGAACACTGGGAGTAGGGGTGGGGGGTAGCAGTAGGATAGAAGACAGAGTCAAACCTGCAGAAAAGACCCATACAGGGGTGAACTTCTCATTTCTCCCCTCTTTCTTGACCCTGAGCCAAGGGAGGGCACCCAGAAGAGCTGTCACAG